TTAATTTTATTTTGAGTGTAGGTGTGTAAAAGAAATGCGAGGAGATAGGCAGATTGGTAATGATTTTTTGAGTTTTTAAAGGCAACCGCTTGGGTTCGAAGGTGTAACGATTCGCTACGTTGATACACTGAAAAAAAAATTCAAGTCAAACGGGATTGAATCAATGCGAAACGGGATTAAAAACAGGGTAAGCCCGAATATGCTAAAATTGATCCAAAAAAGATTGAAGTAATCCCGTAGTTTTGCAAGCCAAAATAGATTGAATTTATCGTTATTGAGTAGGCCGGGATTAATTCAACCCCGAAAATCGAGATCGATTCTATCCCAAACGTACTAAATTTAATCCCGAACGGGATAGTTTCAATCCCGAAAAACGGGATAATTTTTATCCCAAACGTACTTGAATTGAGCTCGGCCGAGATTATATAAATTCCAATAAATCCTCAAAAACCCAAAAACCGATACAAAATTATGTTTTTATTTAATCTTTTTTATTTTAATATTAAATATACTTGATTCTAAACTACATATCATTTTGTGGATATAACCGTAAGGAAGGTGTTATTTGCTCTGACTATCAGAAAAGGAGTTGTTTTTGGATATAATCTCCTCTATACGGTCTTGATAGTTGAATATTGTTGTCAGCTGAAGAAATAATTTTTCCTCCGCGCCAGCAAGGGTCACTTTTTCACTCCTCTTTCCATTGTTACTTGATTTGAATTGGGCTGAGAATTGTAAGCAGCAGTGGCGGATCCAGGATTTGGATGTGGGGTGGTGAGTTGTTCTTAAAACAAATTTGTTGGTCAATTATTTTTCATTCCATTATTTTTTTAAAAGAGTGAGGCGCAATTTATCCCTTAAGGCCTTTACGTGGATTTGCGCATGTTAGTCAGCATTTTCAAATTAAATCTTGACAATCTATTTATAAACGAAAATAAAAAATTAGAGTCAAAAAAAAGTTTTAATTTTACAAAACAACGCCTTTACATGTTGAACAGCTTTGCCCATGAAAATGTGTATACTTTACCTCATAAACACTGTAATGCTTCTTCTGCTAATAAAGCTATTATTGTTGTATCGTCTTCGTCTTCCAGTTCATCAAAACTTAGCTTGGCCTCACTATTACCGGATCACTTTCCACACAGTGAACTGACTCTCGGACACACTGAATTCAAATAGCACTGATTTATTAAACGTTTTGAATTATTGACGTATAAGTCAAAGCAGTCTACACAAGAAGTTACCAGTTTGGTTCGATTAGTGTTGGTATGAGTTGGAAGTCTTTAATTATCGGAAAATTAAAGTTTTGGCTAAGGTTTTCCAATTTACACATTTTCACATTTAGATGGCGCTACCTTATTAGTTAGTTTTTATTACTGTACGATGCAGTGCCATCTGTTGGAAAAATAACAACGTTACTCCTTTAGACTAAAAACATTAAACGTGGTAGTAGTGTTTCGTAAATCATTTGGTTTATAAAAAAAAGCAGGTTTGTGAAAAGTTTTGAATTCCTGTTGGGATCTTACAAAAATCTTTTTCAACCAACAAGTCGGATCGAATTTTATATGACAGCCCGGAATTTAATCGCGTTCGGATAAAAAAGTCATAATTTAATCTTTTTAGGATGACATATATCTTTTCAGACTTAAAGTACAAATTTTTATTCCAGATTCGGATAAAAAAGTATTAATACAATCTTTTTTAGGATAACATAAATTTCTCGGGCTCAAAATAATCCCAAAAATACAAAATTAAGCCTTTTTTATCCAAAACGGGATTGAAATTTTGGATCTCGGAATAAATTAAAATCAAGAATAAAAAATTTGAATTTAGCACGCCGTTTTTTTTTGAGTGTAATCTCTCCGCCTTTCCGTTGCGGCTGTTCCCGGACGACTCCCAGATCGGGATTTGGCCGGAACGACGAGTATTTACGGCCCAAATGAATATCTTTTTAAACTACCGAAAATAACTTTTAACCGCAGATCGTGGCGGCGACGTTGTGTAGGCCTTTAGCGTACGGCGAAACTGGCGACCGTGTTCGATCGAACCTGGGTTCTTCTTTCGCCTCAAATGATCGCTCGATGGTAGTTCGTCGCCTAAACTCTGCTCTAGATTCACTGGATGCAATTCTCTTTGGGCCGGGGCATGGGTTATAATGGGCAAAACTTATCTCTGATGAAAAATAAGGCAATCATTTACGCCTTTCCTTGGGCGCTGCTGCTGCTCTTTGATGAAACGCTGGCGTTGAACTTGAACACTGGATACGCAGTCTCCTCATGCGCCCGGGCTTCTTAGCTAAATTCGCCCTCTCTCTTTTTGGTTGCCTTCGAACCCAAACGGTTGCCTATAAAAACCCAAACAAATGTACAATCTGCCTATCCAATAGCTTTCCTTTTCCTTACCCTTTTAGTTGCGGCTAGCTTCCAATTAAAATGGAATATTTTCCGCTGGCACAGATCTTAGCACTCGCGTGAACTTTACGAATTTCTAGCCACTGGTAAAATTTGGACTGTTCTCTGCAGTTGCCGAAAACGGAAAGACCTGACCCCACGCCGGAAAAGTGGCGGTAACCCCAGATCGAATCAGGGTGAAAGCGAAGATAGTTGACACTTGCCACTGTTGCTCTCTCGCGCTATCCTATCTATACCTACCACTCTCATCCTAGCTCTAGTGGCAACGCAGTACCCACTTTCCGAACGACCAACAGATGGCGCTAGAAAAGTATATTTTTTCTTCGAGCAAGCGCTACAAAGGCCACCGAGAAGAGAGAGAGGGCGAATTCAACAAAAAAGAACTGGGCGCATCCGCAAACTACATATCCAGCGAGCAAGTTAAACGCCAGCGTTTCGTCAAGGAATAGCCGCAGCGCCCCAGGAAGGGCGTAAATGATTACCCCATTTCTCGTCATTGATAAGTCATTTCCCTCTATAACCCATGCCCCGGCCCAAAAGAATATTTAGTGACCCGGCTGCCAACACCAATTATTTTTGTTTACATGTCGCCGCCTATTTGGACTCTGTCAACCGAAAAAAGTGGAAAAATCCGAACTTTAAAAATCCACCATAAATCCAGTTTTCCATGGATTTGGGCCATATCCGGCTTGTTTTATTCGGTAGGATGTAAACTTTAAGTTTGTACCCATTTTGATTTTTCAACGGATTTATTTCGAGTTTTTAAGATATATACAGCCGACTTACAGACGACCAAAAAACACATTTTTCATCTTTGTCGAGCTTCTGCGCTGCCACTACTCATCCAATCATATTGATCTGTATGGCAAAGTTAAGCTCTGATCTATTGACTTTAAAATAAAACTAAAACTGGCCCAATCGAGTGGATATCTGGCGAGATATAAGAAGAAATTCGAAAAAAGTCCGAAATTTAACATTACGAACTTTAAAAAATCTTTTAAAAAAAACTGTGCCATCGATCTAGGGGTCCAACACTAACAGAATTTGCCATCAATTGCTGGGGAGCACACCAAGAATATTATTTTGTAAACTAGTGTAATAAATATGAAGTAAATCAAATTAAATGGGGAAAATAAATTAATTAAATATTAAATGAAACTTTTCCAAGTCGAATGCAATAATCCCCATGCGGCACTTAACCATATTTATATACACAAAAAGTTTTAAAAATCTTATTTAACTATTTATCATATTTTAACCTGTTTTATTTATTTATTGTCTATATTTATTTATTTAATTCATGCATGTTCTTATATTTAGTTTAAGTGATGGTTTTATATTTTTAGTTGGTAAATAAATTTTATAATGTTTAGCTAATTCGAAAAAGTGGCCGCAGCTAGCGCTGTCTGCAATGTAGAGTAGCACTTGGTAAAGGGGTCGCTCAGGATGTCGAGCGACGAAGGGGATGAGCGACCAAAGGTAGGGTGGGCAGACCAAGACCTCCATGACATCCAGGGAGGCGAAGGATGAAGTCAGACGAAAGGGGAATTATCAGGAAACGTACAGTAGCATTATATTGTGTGTGTTTTTTTCTCAACCCGGTTTTCGGTGATGCACGCGAGTATCTAAATATTATTAGCCAAAGGCAATACGAGTCATCGGCAATATCATCACACCCATAGCCGAGAGCCAGAGCCGGAGAATATCTTTCGCGCGCGCCGATGGCTCGGTACAACAACTAGCCTAAATTATGGTTATGAGCGTAGCGGTTCGTTACATTCTGCGTACGAAAACATTAATGCTTGCAGCAAAATAATAATTAATATCTTACATTATTTAAAAGTGTACTATGTATTGCCGAGTTGAAATCCCCCTTCGTTAATGTTGAGTTGAGCACCTGCTCTTCAAGTCAGCTGCTATGTGTTCTGTTGGAACACGAGTTTTACATTTGTCAAAAATCCCAACCGTTTCACACGGATTGGTCGCGTTCAGCAGTACAACATGATTACTGGCCGCGTTTAGCAGAACAACATTATCTCTGATCATTGATGGATCAGTAATCAGTGATCAAGTTTTTTCTGCTGAACGCTAATGATACATTTCGATGACGTAAAAGTAAAATATATATCTAACATTGCGCGCGCAATTTAAAAAAAAATTATTTTTCCCGCTTGATGATTTTGAAATAAATAATGCGAACATGATCACTGATCATGATGCAATGATCACTAATCACTGATGCAAAATTCTTGCATCATGATCAGTGATCATGTTCGCATTATTTATTTCAAAATCATCTTAGAAAGCATATTTGTGGTTATTTTTACCTTGGTAACAATTTTAGGCAGTAACTAGCAATAATTAATCAAATTTCACATATTTTAAGTTCCGTGAAACTTTTCAACAAATAACAGCTGTTTGAAAATTCAACAGGACTTATTGTGGGTCGTTCCCTTAATTGCTGAAATTTTCTGTTGAATTTTCAACAATTCAGCAATTCAACAGTTTAGGGAATCCCCTCATTAAAACAATCGTTGGTTGCATGGGAAACATCGATTGCCTAATTTCTGGAGACATCGATAGCTTCGAATAATCATCGATTTTTGTTCCAGCTTTGTAAACCAGCGTTGTTGTTTGTAATTTTGCAGCGAAAAGTAATAAAGCCGCACACAACTGTAAGTTCAACCGCTAAATTAAAAGATTTTAGATACATTTCTATCATACTATAAAAGAGCACAGCAAATCGACAAACTCTTATGTTCGATGAACCCCGTGAAATGTCTGTGTTTGTAAAGTGACGCTACCATTTAAAATGCGCCGGGCATTTTGCCTTTGATGTCGCTGTATTGAAGCTTACTCTTTCCGAGCTGGGGAAATAGTTCAAGAGTCAAGCGATTTCATAATAAAAATTGACTAAGTTTTAAGAACTTCGATAAATGAAGGCAAGAAATATGTACTCTGTTGATGGCGTCGCTTGCTGCGGCTTTCATTTTGTTTCTGTGCAAAAACCACCACAAACGCAGGGACACACAGACGAGTGCACACCACCAAACGTTCGAGAGCGGCTTGCTGGCATTTTACTGCGTTTATGGGAAGCCAAGTTCATGTATTCAATTACACCAAATTCATTGTCAGAGAGTAACCACCTAACCCTTTATCTCAGTGATCTTTTGAAGCTGATATTTTGTTTTGCCTTTAAAAATTGGTCAGTCATTACTTTGTTAGACTGGCTTTTAACTTAAACCATTTTTTATATTTCCAAAATGTACATAACTTCAAAAACTTTTTGTGTCGAAAAATCATGACTTAGTTTTTTAGAATTCATGAATTTTATACCATAAACATATTTCACGTTCCGCTTTGCTGGGTGCGAATTTTGGTTTCGGTTTTTAGGGCTCAACTTATCCTCTACTTTGCTTCGTTTCAGCCACCGTGAACAGATCCATACCAGTCCAGTAAAATATCCGATAAGCGAGAAAATGTCAGCCAAGCGCAAGGCAGGAGGCAACGGAGCCGGACCCAATAAGCGGCGCCCGAAGAAGAAGGAGTCTGACTACGAGGATGAGTTCAGCGATGAGTCCGAAGAAGACGGCGTGCACCAACAGGCGGCCGCTGCTAATCAAATGGAGGTTCTCATTCCCCACGACGACCTTGACCCGCCCAGCAAGCTGCCCGAGGACTTGCTGGCCACTTTGGAAAAGACTCCGGGCCAGATGCTGCTTGCCGGCATGGTAACCTGGGACCTGACTGGTAAGCGGGACCGCAAGAACGTTACGAAGGTGCGCCCAAACCTGTACAGCTTTCACCGGTTTACGGATGAGAAGGTAAGCCATCCTCCACGTCGCCTCGCACTATTTTCACAGAGCGCCTCTTTTGCAGTATCGATATGTGGCTAGCGGACCCAGTGCCGCTCACACAATTGTTATCAACATGGACCGCAAGGCGCTTGGTTTTGGGCGGAATCCCAGCGGCCAGCTGGGCCTTAGCCAAGACATTAAGTTGGCTGAGAAGCCCACCCTCATTCCGGCCCTGGAACAGCTAAACATCGTGCAAGCAGCGGTCGGCCGGCATCACACTCTGTTTCTGACCGACACGGGCACCGTATACGCCTGCGGCGAGAATAAGTCTGGCCAGTGCGGCGTGGGGAATACCCACGCCAATATCTATTCGCCCACGCCGATCAACTACCGAGGACCGCCGATCATCCGGATCGGTTGCGGGGCCGAGTTCTCGGTCATTCTGGACATCAAGGGGAGCCTGCACACATTTGGACTGCCAGAATACGGCCAGTTGGGCCACAACACTGACGCCAAGTATTTTGTAAACGCCAACAAGCTGTCATTCCACTTCGAGACGTCGCCCAAAAAGGTGGTCCTGTATATAGAGAAAAGCAAGGAAGGCCATGTGACGCCAGTCGATGGTGTGCAGATCGTGGATTTTGCCTGCGGCAACAACCACACAGTAAGATGAAAATAATTCTGCAGCTTTTCAATATCTTACAAATCTTTCCTTTACAGGTCGCCATTGACTCCAAGAAACGCGTCTACAGCTGGGGCTTTGGCGGTTTTGGACGTCTCGGCCATGCAGAGCCCAAGGACGAGATGGTACCGCGACTAATGAAGTTTTATGACACACAGGGTCGGGGTGGGCGTAGCGTCTACTGCGGATCTACTTTTAGTCTGATCGTTAATGAGCTGGGCCTGCTCTTCCTGTTCGGCCAGAATAAGAAGACAGGCGAGGCTAATATGTATCCCAAACCAGTTCAGGATCTGTCCGGATGGAATATCACCGACATTGGCTGTGCCAACACATCAATCGTGATTTCGGCCGATGACACACTTATCGCTTGGGGCGCATCGCCAACGTTTGGAGAGCTGGGCATCGGGGAGTTCCAGAAGTCGTCGACGGTGCCTAAGGAGGTGCCAAAGTTGGACAACATTAAAATACCTCAGGTAACTATGGGTTACTCGCACACGGCGTTGCTGGTGGACACCAGCCACGAGGGCACGAAGCAAAAGTACGAGAAGATGCCCGAGTACACTATTGATGATTAGATGGCGAGCGGCTTTTTAATGCTGCCACAAACAAATATACCGCTGCCAACAACAATACTGATCCGCGTAGGAAACACTGAGAACTGATCATCGAAACTCTGCTGCTACTTATTTAAAGTGAAACTAAACAAATCCAGCAAATTATATGCTATAAGTTAAAAGTTCATTATTATGCTAAAACTCGCTATCTACATACTATTCGATAATCTCAGAATACGGATAAAATGTATTTTGTTCCCAAACTCTAATTTATTCTCGTCACTGATACAATGTAACCCTCAACCTGTTTCCTTCTTTCTATAATTTATTGCCGCCCACCTTTAGGATTAAAATCCATTCACATAACGTATGATTATCCATTTTTAATTTGTAATTTACACCACAAGATACAGTATTCTGCATACATTTCAAACAGAGTGAGCAAAAGCAAAATGCTAACTACAAAACAAGTAATTTAACAAAACAAGCGCATAGGTTACACATAAAAAGTATACCATGGAAGAAATCCAATACCAGTTGCAACTATTAACTAGTACATCATGCATTTTAATCATATACAAAGGAATATTTAAATAAAAAGAATGTTAGTAATTAGATTGGACCTATGTTCTTTTTATACCCGTTACTCGTAGAGTAAAAGGGTATACTAGATTCGTGCAAAAGTATGTAACAGCTAGAAGGAAGCGTTTCCGACCCCATAAAGTATATATATTCTTGATCAGGGTCACTAGCCGAGTCGATCTAGCCATGTCCGTCTGTCCGTCTGTCCGTCTGTCTGTCTGTATGAACGCTGAGATCTCAGAAACTACAAAAGCTAGAAGGTTGAGATTTTCCACACATATTCTTTGGCTTCCTACGCAGCGCAAGTTTATTTTAGCCGAGCGCCACGCCCCCTCTAACGCCCACAATCGCCCACTAACGATTTTAAAATGGGTCCTGCGCCCACATCTTTAAAGATTTCCGAGAAGTATAAATGCAATTTTGTTGTGTATATTTATACCTATCGAAATGTAGAAGACATTTTTCAAATCGGACCATTCATTAAAAAGTTATACGCAATCAAAAATTATATATCTATCTCCCTCGCACTCCTTTTAGCTGAGTTACGATTATTAGTCGGGACACCAACCCGACACAGCGTTCGCACTCCCTTTAGCTGAGTGACGGGTATTTGATAGTCGGGACAACAACCCGACTATAGCGTTCTCTCTTGTTTATTCTGGGTTGTGCCGCGGGCTTAGTTAAACGATTTTGCGCGGGTCAAGGTTGACAAATATGGTTAATGTGAGATTGTCGGGGAAATTTTAAAAAATTAATTATGTATGTTAACATCTTATTACTGCGGGCGGCCGTACAGTGTACACGTAGTGACATCTAGCAGAGGAAGTGTGCGTGAGGAGATAGACTATACTATAGGATATACTATACATAGACGCAGAGTTGAAAATCTGCTGCGGTAGGACGATTAAAACAAGTGATTCACCGATCGAGAGTTATTGTCAGGGAACGAAAATAACTGTTATTGTAAATTTTTCATACAAAAAAATCACGCACTTAGAAGGGTCCTAAAAATTTTTTAAATACACCACAATTTTTATTAGCCATTGTAGTTTACAAATCCGTAATGATTTTTATTTTTTAATTTTTATAATAAAACTCAAAAAATAACTGTTATTTTTTGATTTTTATGAATAACAGTTATTCCCTTGACATTTTTGAAAAAATGAAATAATTAAAAAAAACATGATACCCGTGCTTTTTATAACTTACTAAAAATTTGTTAAAAAAGGCAACCGCGCATATTTTATACCTATATTTTTTTAAAATTTCGTTTACCCACAAAATCGCCATAAATCAAGTTTGAGTTTTATTTTTGATCACGACGAATAACTGTTATTTGTCAACTTTTATTATAAAACTCTAAAAATAACAGTTATTCTTTAAGTTTTACTTTACAAATCAGAAAAGTGTGATTTTTAAAATAAAACTTATAACAGTTACGTTCAATAACTTATTGTTATTGTCTTCAAATTTTGGTATTAAGACTTTCAGCAGGCGAAGGAGAAATTACAGTGAAAGTAGAAAAAGCTAGATTTACAAAACTAAAGCTGGGTTTGCTTAATTAAGCTTATTTCCTAAGGGTATGTATGCGTTAATGACATTTGACTGTAGCTTGTGGTTTGTATGGGGAATCTAAAAACAAACTGATGTTTGACGGTTTCCCCCGATTTCTGACCGTTGCTACTTAGATTTTAGCCTTGCTTCCTAATGTCCAGCCGATTGAAAGCGAAAGTCAGTGTGCGGAAAGCTCCAGCGCAAAGCTTTTTCTCTCTGCTGTCGCACCCGAGGACTCTTGACTTCGGATTGCGACGACTCTGCGGCCGGAGCTCTGGAGGACTTTTCCCTGACTCAGTCTTCCGCCGCGGTCCTGTCGAGTAATGTGCGCCGCTGAAGAACCATCCCTGCACATCGCGCCTTGAGTTCCATTTTACCTTTTTTCGCCCCCTACACCCGACACTCATACATACAAACACCGCACACACACTCACACACGCGCCCAATATCAACAAAACAATTCGAAGTTGTCGACGACCAGGATTTTTTACAAGATTATGAATACAAGTCATTCTGCATACGAAATTCATAGTATATAATTTGAAACGACGGCCAACGAATAAGCAAAATATCTCAAACTGTTAATAATTCTATACAAGCAGCAATAGCTGCAATCGCAACATAAAGAACCAGGAGGATCAGCCACAAATACAATAAAATATTTCGTTAATCAAAGCACGGTGGGTTATTACGTATACGTGGTGGTGAATCCCTGTTTATACGTATGTATGTATGTGTGTACGTTTGGAAATGCGTTCCTGGTTTGGTGTTAGTTTGTAAGAGTGTCTATGAAACATTATTTTTGACTTTGTCATGCCACACGTTTCTGTGGTTTAGTAAATGTAGTGTTGTTTTATACATATGTACTCAATGCGATGAGGCCTTGTCAGGAATTGGATGTGGAGTTGTGTTTGTGCTTGGGCTTGTCTGAGTTCCTGCCTAGTCTCCTACCACCATCACCTAAGAAAGTAATTAGAAAATGTCCTCCCCAAAATTCATGCTTCAAAACAAGCATGAAATTCGACTGGAATTTCATAAAGCGGCTATAAATTCCATGTATAATTATTCCTCATCGCGCAGATATACAATGCCTTTTTTTTCCCATTGTGGCGGTCACGAATAAGCCAACGAACAAGAAGCCTGGACAAGGACCCAAGAGCCGTAGCTCGAGCTCCTTGCAACCTCTGACCATGCTCTGGCCTCCTAATACGAATATAAAAGCTGCTGAAATCAATAAAGACAGACAAAAGCTACGGGCAGGCTGACGTTAAAGCCAAAAGAAGAGCAAAGGAAAGGCGGAGAGATGTGTATGTGTATCCTGTGCTTCGGCCAAGACAGAACCAGGACTCCCCTCCCTACTGTGCGTTTGTGTTTGGGCTTCTGTCTGTATATGCATGTGTCACATTAAGTCACCTGTAGCGGACACTTTTCATATTGGCAGCAGCAACACTGGCAAATCTCGTCATCATCTCTTTCTCTCGCTCACTTCGTTGGACCTCCTTGCGGCCATCCTTCCGCCTCCTTCTTCAACCTGCTTTTCGCTTTCATTCTCGCTTTTGCCACCTTTTAAACTTGTTGCTGACGGCATGTGAAGCAAATTAATGCATACACATTTCACTTTCAATAAAATTAGTTCTAGGACCGACAAAAAACAGCTCTAAAGAAGAGAGCTTCCGAAAATCACAGCCTTTTCCAATATGTGTTGCCTACTTTAAAGACGTCGGCACCAAAAATGATATTCTTTGACTTCCAAAAGTAATCCGCTCGAAATTCCGAAATCTTTAAAGATGTGGGCGCCAGATACCTTTTAAAATAGTTTAAAGCAATTGTGGGCGTTGGGGGCGTGGCCCTCGGCTGAAAGAAACTTGCGCTGCGTAATCCCAACTTTCTAGCATTTGTAGTTTCCCAGATCTCAGCTTTCATCCAGACAGACAGACAGGCAGACGGACATAGAAAATGCACAAAAAAATTGTGGATTACCTATAAAATAAGTAGATAGCCTACAAAATAGAATTTAACCCGTACAAATTTTTTGTTTTTTTATTTAATTTTTTACCTATTTTTCTTTTTTATTTAATTTGCTCTGACCAGTAGGCCACAGAAGAATGATTTCGTAGAGGAAAATCAATGGACTTAAAATCAACATTTAACAAAAAAAAGAAGGAAAACAAGAAAGGAAGCTAGCTTCGGCCAGCCGAAGCTTATATACCCTTGCAGATAATTCCTATTAATTTACAAATCGCAAAAATGTTAATTTTCCTATTATTTCTCATTAATTTTGCGTTCGTTTCAATGGCAGCTATATTATATAGTAGTTCGATTTTGATAAAATTATAATCGAAATTCGAAAATATTTGAAAAGAGTTATATCCTAGAGTAGAAGAGAATACAATAAAAACTAACGAAGCAATAATTTATTTCCTATTATATTCCCATTAATTTTCCGATCGTTCCTATGACAGCTATATGACATAGTCGTCCGATTTTGAAAAAAATTTATTCGAAATTCAGAATTAGATAAAAAATGACATTTCCAAAAGTAGGATGTTATAGGTTTAAAAACGCCCAAGATATAATTTTTTTACATTTTTTTTCCCGATTGTTCCTATGAGAGCTATATGATCAGTGTTGGGACATACCTAGATACTTTTACCTAGGTACGTACCTAGGTACAATTTAGTGGTACCTTTTACCTTACCTAGGTATACAAATAATTGAGTACCTTTTACCTTACCTAGGTATTTATTTTTATATACCTTTGGAATTATTAAGGTACTTACATAGGTATTAAACATTGCTCTGATTTAAAATAGCCAAATCTGACTGCGACACTGTAGTATCGTTTCATTGTATCGTTTCGTTTCAGAATTGTAATAGTCGGAACGCAGCATTAATAATTCAGCCGTTCTATTGTTTGTTTTGTGAAGTTAAAACTAATCGCAGTTTTTTTTTATATAATTTTGTGCACGTATGTATGTTCCCATCACTACATCAATTTATTTATGAAACCAAAGTGTATTTGGAGCGCAAAAATGCCGTATGTACGTAAACAAACGGCATATACATGCATATGCACAATATATAGTCAATGTTTCTACATACGGAATTTTTGCGCGCCAAATATGTACATGAGGGTTTCATAAATACATTAATGAAGTGATACGTGCATAAAATTATTCATGCCGCGTGGTTTAAAAATATATGCACAAAATTAAAACATTTAAATTTAAATGAAATGAAAAGATATTGTTTGATTAAGACGACTAAAAACTGAAAACTAGTCTTATTTTAAGTTTAAATGATTACATTGAACAAAACAAAAAAATTATAAAAAATAAAAAATACCTTATAAATACCTTTTACCTTTACCTAGGTACTGGGAAATTTAAGTACCTTTACCTTACCTAGGTATTTATTTTTGACAATACCTTTTACCTTACCTAGGTAAAAAAACACAGTACCTTTCCCAACACTGTATATGATATAGTTGTCCGATCCGGCTCGTTCCGACTTATATACTACCTGCAATAGAAAGAAGACTTTTGGAAGAGTTTTATCCCGATAGCTTGAAAACTGAGAGACTAGTTTGCGTAGAAACGGACGGACACTGCGTTGCAAACTTCTGACTGAAATCATAATACCCTCTGCATCATCTGCATAAGCGGGATTTGAACTCACGACCCAGCGATTATGAGTCGGATACTCTAACCACCCTAAGTCCAGAAAAAAAATTGACCTGCAATTTATAAGTGTATTTTTAAAACAACAAAAGCTAGCTTCGGCCAGCCGAAGCTTATGTACCCTTGCAGATCGTCCCTATTAAATCGTCCGATTTTGATAAAATTAAAATTGAAATTCGGAAATATTTAAAAAGAGTCATGCCCTAGAGTAGAAGAGAAAACAATAAAAACCAAAAAAGCTCAAATTTATTTCCTATTACTTTCCCATTAATTTTCCGATCGTTCCTATGGCAGCTATATGATATAGTCGTCCGATTTTTGTAATATTTAATTCGAAATTCAGAAATATTTAATAAAATAATATCCCCAAAAGAAGAAGGTAATATTTCAAAAAACTCCGAAGCTATAATTTTTTTAACGTTTTTTTTTCCGATCCTTCCTATGGGAGCTATAAGATATAGTGGTCCTATCCGGTCGGCTCCGACTTATATACTACTTGCAATAGAAAGAAGGCTTTTGGGAAAGTTTCAAGCCGATATCTTTAAAACTAAGAGACTAGTTTGCGTAGAAACGGACAGGCAGACGGACGGACATGGCTAGATCGACTCGTCTAGTGATGCTGATCAAGAATATATATACTTTATGGAAAACGTCTCCTTCACTGCGTTGCAAACTTCTGACTGAAATCATAATACCCTCTGCAAGGGTATAAAAATAGTTGTGTTACGATATTAATTGTGGTGTCACCATTCAATGCCCCAAAAATATAAAACAACAAAAAACACGCAAACAAATAAAATAGTTTTCCTACGATGTTAATTAAGACGTTAATATTAATTTGGCAAATGAATACATGAAAATGTTGTAAATAGGTTTTCTACTATTTTAATTGTTAAATACGATTCAATGACCAAAAAAATAAATCAACAAAATACATGAAAAGTTTAGAAAATAGTTAAGTACTATTTTTCTATGTTGATTTTACATAGGTTTATTTTAAGATTTTTACTTTCAGAAAATTTACTTAAAGCGTGCTTAAGCTTCTAATATTAACTTCGGAGATGTATAAATCGAAAGATTCTGTAATAACAATAGAATTGTAAATCTTAAATTAAGATAGGTGTGGAGAGGGTAAGTTCCAACGGACATATGTATCACAATAGACCAGCGCTCGGCACACTCATACAATAACACTTTGTTTTAGATTTGTAAATTGCACGGGGCAGCTCATTAGTGTGTGTGTGCAGACCGCTGTTCTACAGTGTACGTGAGTGGCAGAGGATGGGCAGAACAATTCCCTATGCTCACTTAATAGGACGCTGCCTATCGCTGCAATAGACCAATGCAAATCGGTAGATTGAATAATAATCATTATTATTATACGCACATTTTTATGAAATGAAATTTTTATGAAAAAAGGGTATCTGCAAAAGGGAAAATTAAATTTTGGAGTAAAAAGAGGTCCCCAAGAAATATCCAAACAATTCGCCCTTGATGAAAACAGAGACAGGGCCTTAAAAGGGGGATGGGCGGACCTTGTGGTTGTCGAGTGCACAAAGTGCAAGGTTGCGTTGCCATTCATTTCGCGGCACTGGTATGGGTGTGGGCAGACGGAAGGAAGAACATCAGTAATCTCTTAGTGCGCCTTGCTCGCATTCGTTCCGTGCCCTCATTGCATAAGTGTCAGTTTCAACGGGCTGGTGTGTGTGTGGGAGATGTGTCCTTGTTGGCAGACAAAAGACCGATGATGATGGCATTTTGTTACTTTGCTACCTTTTGTCGCACGCCACACGGCAGCTCTTTTAGTATGAAATGAGGCTACCAGACAAACGCGTCGCCATCGAAGATCGCCCAAAACGAGTACGGACCAGGCCACGAATAGAAGCAAAAGCATCGGAGTCGAGAACGGATTCTGGCGCGGGATCGGAGGCATGAACAGGGACAATCTGCAGCAGTGGTGGGAGAACTCCTACCGACGCCATCTCCCGGAGCCCAGTTATAGTAATAATTATGGTCTTGAATCCGCCGAGCTGCAGTTCGCACACCAGGATCCCAACCAACTGCCCATGGACTACGAATACGGCAACTTGAGCCTGGGCAATCCGTACGACTTGGACCAGGAGCAGTTCGGGTAACGATCTTTTGCTGCCCGTTCCTATTCAATTAGCAACCTCTTTTTAAGCAGCATCTCCTCGCTGACGCTGCTCCTGCTGGCGGTCAGCTACGGGCTTGTGGTTTTCGGCGGCGTTGTGGGCAACTCCACGCTGGTGCTGACCCTCTGCTCGGCCTCTTCGGTGCGCCTCAGAAACCCACTACTATTGGCCGTCTGCATTGCGGACCTGCTCGTCACCGGCATTTCTGCGCCGGTCACACTCCTTAATCTCGCGATGAACCGCCGGACGCGATCAATGCCGCTGGTGCTGTGCAAGGTCATCCACTACATACAGGTGAGTGGGTTTCTTTATCAAAGGGGGTTAAAAAATATCAGGGTTGTACGAAATATAAATGTATTAAGCTGCTTCCCAGCAAGCAATTTGAGCGTTTTCTCACTGTTTTCTGATACTTTTTATACCCTTGTAGAGGGTATTATAATTTCACTCAGATGTTTGCAACGCAGTGAAGGAGACGTTTCCGACCAATAGCCGAGTCTATCTAGTCATGTCCGTCTGTCCGTCTGTCTGTCTGTCCGTCTGACCGTCTGTCCGTTTCTATGCGAGCTAGTCTCTCAGTTTTAAAGCTATCGCGATGAAACTTTCCCGAAAGTCTTCTTTCTATTGCAGGTAGTACATATGTCGGAGAGAGCCGGATCGGACCACTATATCTTAAGGCTCCCATAGGAATATTCAAAGAAATATAAGAAAATTCATTGTACCTTTGTAGGAAGTAGGCGTTTTGATTCTTGACTACTTAAAAACAAAATTTAAATAAATAGAAACGCTGAATCTGGAATCCCTGGAACTGCACCGAGTGAGCATTCTTTTATCTACAAGGGTATATAAGCTTCGGCTGGCCGAAGGTAGCTTCCTTTCTTGTTTCTGAGTATTCACAGTCATAAAGTGTTCAAAAAAGAGTCCGGAAAGAGTTTTTTCTTTGAAAAAGGTTGCACTTTAAGAGGCTGATTTGTGAGTCCGATCTGACTCTTTTCTGACTCAGATAAGTGCTTTCCGTTATTTTAATCGCGATTTTTACTTTAATTTTCCATACCATCGTTTTTATGAGGCTATGCCTAGAGAGCACCAAATGTGCTCCGAAAACGCTCTTATTTATGTGCCGACTCAGAAAACACTCTGAAACGAGGCTCTTTTCAGACATACAACAAGAGAGAACGCTATAGTATATAGTATAGTATAGGGAGATGGATATATCACCGTTTTTTAGATTGCGCATAACTTCTTAATTAATGATCCGATTTGAAAAATGTCTTCTAAACTTTGAGACAGACAGACCATACCATCGTTTTTATGAGGCTATGCCTAGAGAGCACCAAATGTGCTCCGAAAACGCTCTTATTTATGTGCCGACTCAGAAAACACTCTGAAACGAGGCTCTTTTCAGACATACAACAAGAGAGAACGCTATAGTATATAGTATAGTATAGGGAGATGGATATATCACCGTTTTTTAGATTGCGCATAACTTCTTAATTAATGATCCGATTTGAAAAATGTCTTCTAAACTTTGAGACAGACAGACAGACAGACAGACAGACAGACAGACAGACAGACAGACAGACAGACAGACAGACAGACAGACAGACAGACAGACAGACAGACAGACAGACAGACAGACAGACAGACAGACAGACAGACAGACAGACAGACAGACAGACAGACAGACAGACAGACAGACAGACAGACAGACAGACAGACAGACAGACAGACAGACAGACAGACAGACAGACAGACAGACAGACAGACAGACAGACAGACAGACAGACAGACAGACAGACAGACAGACAGACAGACAGACAGACAGACAGACAGACAGGCAGACAGACAGACAGACAGACAGACAGACAGACAGACAGACAGACAGACAGACAGACAGACAGACAGACAGACAGACAGACAGACAGACAGACAGACAGACAGACAGACAGACAGACAGACAGACAGACAGACAGACAGACAGACAGACAGACAGACAGACAGACAGACAGACAGACAGACAGACAGACAGACAGACAGACAGACAGACAGACAGACAGACAGACAGACAGACAGACAGACAGACAGACAGACAGACAGACAGACAGACAGACAGACAGACAGACAGACAGACAGACAGACAGACAGACAGACAGACAGACAGACAGACAGACAGACAGACAGACAGACAGACAGACAGACAGACAGACAGACAGACAGACAGACAGACAGACAGACAGACAGACAGACAGACAGACAGACAGACAGACAGACAGACAGACAGACAGACAGACAGACAGACAGACAGACAGACAGACAGACAGACAGACAGACAGACAGACAGACAGACAGACAGACAGACAGACAGACAGACAGACAGACAGACAGACAGACAGACAGACAGACAGACAGACAGACAGACAGACAGACAGACAGACAGACAGACAGACAGACAGACAGACAGACAGACAGACAGACAGACAGACAGACAGACAGACAGACAGACAGACAGACAGACAGACAGACAGACAGACAGACAGACAGACAGACAGACAGACAGACAGACAGACAGACAGACAGACAGACAGACAGACAGACAGACAGACAGACAGACAGACAGACAGACAGACAGACAGACAGACAGACAGACAGACAGACAGACAGACAGACAGACAGACAGACAGACAGACAGACAGACAGACAGACAGACAGACAGACAGACAGACAGACAGACAGACAGACAGACAGACAGACAGACAGACAGACAGACAGACAGACAGACAGACAGACAGACAGACAGACAGACAGACAGACAGACAGACAGACAGACAGACAGACAGACAGACAGACAGACAGACAGACAGACAGACAGACAGACAGACAGACAGACAGACAGACAGACAGACAGACAGACAGACAGACAGACAGACAGACAGACAGACAGACAGACAGACAGACAGACAGACAGACAGACAGACAGACAGACAGACAGACAGACAGACAGACAGACAGACAGACAGACAGACAGACAGACAGACAGACAGACAGACAGACAGACAGACAGACAGACAGACAGACAGACAGACAGACAGACAGACAGACAGACAGACAGACAGACAGACAGACAGACAGACAGACAGACAGACAGACAGACAGACAGACAGACAGACAGACAGACAGACAGACAGACAGACAGACAGACAGACAGACAGACAGACAGACAGACAGACAGACAGACAGACAGACAGACAGACAGACAGACAGACAGACAGACAGACAGACAGACAGACAGACAGACAGACAGACAGACAGACAGACAGACAGACAGACAGACAGACAGACAGACAGACAGACAGACAGACAGACAGACAGACAGACAGACAGACAGACAGACAGACAGACAGACAGACAGACAGACAGACAGACAGACAGACAGACAGACAGACAGACAGACAGACAGACAGACAGACAGACAGACAGACAGACAGACAGACAGACAGACAGACAGACAGACAGACAGACAGACAGACAGACAGACAGACAGACAGACAGACAGACAGACAGACAGACAGACAGACAGACAGACAGACAGACAGACAGACAGACAGACAGACAGACAGACAGACAGACAGACAGACTCTTGTGCTTCGCAAGTGCTTCTTTTCTGAATTCTGCAGTCCAACGGCACCCGGGAATTACGATTTCGTTTTTGCAATTAATTGTCGATTCCAAATTTAAATCTAACGAACAAAATGATTCCTTTATTTCTTGCAGGTCATGCCCGTAGCGGCCAGCACCATTTCGTTCTTTATGCTCTCCCTGGACCGCTACGCCACCGTGAAACATCCTAGATTGGCTCAGTTGCGCCAGCGCCGTTACTTGCATGTCTCATTGGCTGTGCTTTCCTGGCTAGCCTCAGCGGCCATTAGCACGCCATTCCTGTTCGCCTATAAGATCATCGCCAAATCTATGGTGGTCAAGGGTAGCATGGCGACGAAAACCACGCCGAGCCCAGTTAGCATAAGCTGCACTTCCGATCTGGGCGCTAGCGCCATGTTCATGTCCTTCATTACCTTTCACACGATCGCCGTGTTCGTGCTGCCGGGCGTTGGTGTGCTTCTCAACCACTACGGCGTCCGTCGCAAGCTCTGCGCACTTTCCCTGACGGCTCGGGCTGCCCACGGAGAGCTGCCCCTTCCCATCCCCATCCTGAGGCGCCAGACCCACATGGTAATCGTTACTGGCTGCCCCAACGCACAGCAAGCTGCCTGCGGAGGGGGCACCACGGCAGACGACACCTCCAACGGAAATGGAGCGGGCATCGGGGGCGGTCCAATGCCCATTAGTCCAGGAGACATCCAGCTTCACAACCTACATCCGCAACAGCCGGGCTCTACCGGATCGGCCCTCGAACCAGGTTCTTACCGCTCAAGCAATCCAATATCGCCAAGGTGAGTAACGATCACGTTAAAAAAAAATGTGTTGGTACAATCAAGAACTTTCGGTGTGTCACAGAAACGGGTTTGGGGAGTGTTGGTTCAAAAAACAACCAAAACCGTCGGTGTACCAGACGCATGCTAAGCCTATGAAAAGAGTTTTTGTTCTGATATTTCTTTGATGCATTCTTTTAAGTGTTTTCATTGTGAAGGAGGTCAGACTGATCAGGCTATTGTCCTTAGTGAATCTTGTGAAATTTTTTTCCTGGTTTGAAGAAAGACCCCCTTTGTCGCCCTTTAAGGACATTTCCCAATTGTGTATTTGATTCTTGAAGATTACCGGGGAAGTGCGTGACCACGAGTAGCTCTAGTGAACCAGCGTAAGGCTTGCATGGCCTTTGGATGGGATCTAGATTCATTCCTTCCGTTCATAATAGGTTATCAAAAATTGACTACGTAATTTGCTCTCATTTAATTTATTAGAGCTAAAAATCGTAGAATATATAAGTATGATCCGAAAATGAATTTTGTTTCGACACAATCCATTACTTGAAATGTAATGTGCTAGGCAAGACAAATGGTGGTGGGTCATCTACGCCGAGGCTAGCAGCATCCCTGTTTCGTCGGCAGCTAATTTGAGGACCCCTTTGTGTAAAAACAAATTTGTTAAATTGTTAAATTTTTTCAGAGCAATGAGAGAAATTCGAGCCCACTCGCAGAGACAGCGCATTAACCGGGCGGGAAGAGGACCTGCGACCCCCGGGATACCATTACCCCAGACATCCACACTTCGTTCACGGCGGCACCTTGCCAACATGCTGATCGCCTCAGCTGTGATTTTCATAGCCTGCTGGACACCGCACGTCTTCTGCATCCTTTACAAAAACTTCGGTAGCAAGCAGCAGTGCAGCCAGACCTCCGTTTACTTCAGCCTTCTACTGGGTGAGTCCAAATCCTAGACCCGGGTGCAACCAGAACCAGGACCAGTCACTTAAAACGAAGCTTTTCCAGGCTACTTCTACTCGTCCATCAGCCCAGTGATTTACTGGGCTCTTAACCACAACTCGCTTCGACAATCTCCCTGCGCGCCCATCATCCGCCTGCGCTCTATGCAGAACTTCCTAAGGTCGCGCTTCCGGACGCACACCGCCCCGCCGCCTCCGTCGTCCACCAACGAGGCGGCCTTAGGAGCGTTTAACCCCAAGCTGATTAAACTGACACCGAAACAGTATAGAGCTCAGGCCTCTTCGCATTATCTCTACTAGTGTGATACTAAACTAAACTTGATATACATTTATACACATTTATATACACGCATACACCATATATTTTTTACTTACGCCATCCCGGACTCTCTGATACTAGAATGCGAACCGAACCCAACCAAACGGAACTATCTATATGATTTTCAAAATGCTGTACGAAACTAGTTGACTAGATAAAATACTTACATGGTACTTATATAGAACACATAGAACCGTACATAGCAGTGTTATTTGACGCTTATTTACACGATGTTGTGCGCCAAAAGCTATGCAATAAAGGCGACAGAGTCTTTTCGGAACTCATGCCTATAACGAGAATTACTGGTAACGTAACAAAAACAAGAAAAAACTTACAAAAATAAACCAAACCCTTCTAGTGACTTGTTCGAAATGTTGTTTAGTCTTTTAAGCTGAAATATTGTACTATGTTCCTTCTCATAGATAAGCAATAAGTGAACGCTTTAAGCCAAGTTAAACAAACAAAAACGAATCAAACTAAAAAACGATCTAAAACTTTTAAACAATTTAAACCTAAAGTCGAATGCATGCCTAACAAAACATAAATAATTATACATATATACATACATACGAGTACATACATATAACAAGTAAAAAATGAATGTAAATGTGAGCAAAAACAAAAAAGATAAAAATTAGTATTTTACTTAATTCTTTATACACTTTTTCTAACCATTTTTAATATTGTTCAGTAAGCTGAACAATTCAAGCTGTAGAGAAATAGACCCCGCGGAGATATTCGCGTTTCTGATGTAAGTGCCACGCAAAAGATCAGACTCAGGATCGGGTTTCATTTCACTATTTTCACTGGCCAACTTTTTAAATTTACGAGATTTTTATATACATATGTACATATGTACATGGGGGCGACTAACTGTTTACAGCCTTTAAGTTTTTAGTTTGAACCTTTTAAACTTCTTTTAACCATCTTAAACAAACAGCAGTTGTTATCGCCTTGGAAATAGTGGCTATAAACCTTAAACTAACTTTAAATAATCATCGTTTTGTACTTTACAAAATCGTCAACGAAAACAAGGAACTATAAAAAATACTATAAATATGCTACCTAGTAAAAGTCTGTGTTTTATTTCCTCATCCGACTATCCAATACTCTATGGTAATAAAATAATGTGGGTTACTAGAGTGTAGAGATAAGTCTATATACTGTCCATAAACTAATCGAACCAATAAAGACCATTTTTTGCTAGTTTCAACTTCTGTCATAGATAAAGTGGCACGATGAAAGTACTTTCACGCTTGGTTATTGTTCAATCCAAAGTTAACAATTGTTATTCGGCTGTCCGTCTGTCTGCTAGACTGCCATATATTACGTAATCACCCAGGGAGTGCAAACAACATTTTTTTTGTATGAAGAATTATAATTATTTAAATTATGATTACGTAATATATGGATAGCCTAAAAGTTTGGATTGCCTTCCGCTTCCTAGGCAGTCGAAGTTTCGATTCTCACATCTTTTGAGATCAAGGAAATGTATAAATGCAAATTTTTTGTGCCTAAAAATACCTATACAAATTAAAAAAAAAAATTTTAAGTCGGACCATTCATTAAAAAGTAATAAGCAAAACTGAAACAGCAGCTAGGTGGAGCCATCAAAAATTTCAACAGCCGATAGCTGGCGCTAGTAGCTTTAATGACTGCATATCTCAATTTTCCTCGCCCTCCTTTCATCTGAGTAACGGGTATTTGAAAGTTGAAGTTCTAGACTATAGGTCAGCGATCGGCAGCGTCCTATTAAGTGAGCATAGGGAATTGTTCTGCCCATCCTCTGCCACCCACGTACACTATAGATCAGCGGTCTGCACACACACACTAATGAGCTGCCCCGTGCAATTTACTCACACAAAACTAAAACAAAGTGTTATTGTATGAGTGTGCCGAGCGCTGCTATAGATATTTTCGTAATATATAAATCTTAAAATAAGGGTAACACATGGCAAACAAACTTTTTTGAGAAAACCAAAATAGTTGGTAGATTCGATCAGTACCCTGTAGTTCTCAAGGGGGCCGGTGGCACTTTCGGGGTAGAAAAGGGATCGACCACCCAGTGGTCCCTTAAGGGTCAATAGGTGGCGTGTGTATTTTTTACAAGAGCAAAAGAGTTATCGGAGAGTGAACACTTCTATGTGAACACTTCTATATGAGTTAAAAAAAATTGTAAAATGAAATTTTTGACAAGTATATAATGATTTTAATAACGAATACAACTTTATTTTGTTTATATAAAAAACAAATTTAAAAAAAGTTAAAATAATAAAATAAAAACTTAATAATGAGATAAAATAAAATAATAAATGATAGAATTTTATTTCTTTTTATATTATTTATATTTAATAATGAGCAATTTAGCTGCAGCAATATTTTTAACAATAGCGGTGGTTCAGTAGCAAAACGTTTTCTTTCCTTCCATAACAAGCGGATTTTATTGGTGCTTAGATATATAAAATAAATACATAAGTACCTAATTTTATATACATAGAACTAAACAAAAATAATATTAGCGAATGTTTTTATTGCCATCGATTATACGATATCGGTAGTCGCAATATTAATCGTAACGGATTGCCATAACTACCCAACCCCGCTACCATCACTAACCCAACGTTTGCGCCAAATTTTGTAAACATTGTATTTAATTTGTCTTATTGTACATTTAAAGTTTTATATTTTGTTGTGATCTGAAGTGTCGTCAACAGGTGAGTAACACCATGAGTTGTGCAAGTGAAATACCTAATAATGTGTGATATTTAGCCATGAACAGGAACAGGCACATTCGTCGATTTGTTAAAGAGGAGAAGGAGAAATAGTGGTGCAAAGGACTCCTACGTAAGTCTTTTTTTCTTTGATATAAATATTTTAGTGAAATTTTCTTCCTTTTTAGATTAAAGCCATGAGATCGTTGTTGCTGCCAGAAGGGGGTTTAAAAAACTTGCGGAGGGTTCTCACGGATGAGTTTGTTGTGGGATTTAATGTTAAAGGCCTTTCTGGAAAAAAAGCCGTAAACTCCTTTACACATTTCTATGGTGCACTTCACGGTAGGTTATTTTTATAACTGTATTTTTTATAATACACTTAGTTTCTTGATTCAATTTCAATCTATTTACTTAGAATGCCATCTGTCTTTAATCCTATTTCTTTCTGTCTTTTTCTGCTTTTCACTTTTAAAACATGGTTTGATGTAAACAGGCTTTTATAACAAAATCTTAAAACATGGTTTGATGTAAACAGGCTTGTATAACAAAATCTAAAAATATATATTTAAACCCATGCAGAGGGAATTATAATTTAGTCCAGAAGTTTGTTACGCAGTAATGGAGACCTTTTCAAACCTATAAAGTAAATCCATTTAACCATGTCCGTCTGTCTGTCGGTTCAAGTTTCAAAAGCGTGAAATAAGTCTACATTTAACTGTTGGTTATTCTTATTTTATATTTATGCTTTTCTAGTCACAATTTTATTCCTGAAAGCTGCAAGGGTATTAAAACTTTGGCTTGCCGAAGTTATTTTCTGTTCTCATTTTATTTTAAAACACTAAAATCTTATTTTTTTTAGATATTGTTTCAGAATCTGGTAATGCAGAAATATTGATTCCCAAGGCAATTCAATTGCAAAAGAAACGATTTTTTAAAAATAAATCCAAATCAAATAATAACAACAATGAGGCACTCAACAAAAACGTGTCAGCAGAGGAATTTGTTCAATAAATATAAATTAAAAAAATAGAAAAATTGTCTACTTATAATACAATAAATTAATTTAACAAAAAGTATTTTTTCTTGGGAAGTTTCATAGCATTCAGCTTTTTTGGTATTGAAAACACCAACCCCATTTCATACCCCTTTTCGCCACAAAAGGGACCGATAGGTGGTCCGATAGATGGTCCGATAGGTGGCCCCTTTTGTGGCAAAAAGGGGTATAATATGGGACCACCTAACGGTCCCTTTTGTGGCGAAAGGTAATGCAGAACTTCGCCATATGACCACCGCCTAGGACATGCCGTGGTAAAAGTGGATAGAAATTTACATTGCGGGTGGTATGAACGGGAGTTAGTCCCAAGCCCCCGGTGTATGGCGATTTCGCTAGTTCGGGACCAGTCCCGGCGAACTACAGGGTAGACTCCGAATTTGAAGTCCAATTTGTAGTACATTTTTCCGTGTTGCATGGTGTAGTTCATAAGACATTCAGGGTATTCCCTAAACTGTTGAATTGCTGAATTGTTGAAAATTCAAAATGGGTCCTGTTGAATTTTCAAACAGCTCTTATTTGTTGAAAAGTTTCACGGAACTTAAAACATGTGAAATTTAATTTAATATTGCTAGTTACTGTCTAAAAGTGTTACCAAGGTTACAAAAGGAACCCCAAATATGATTTCTAAGTTGATTTTTAAATAAATAACTTGGCGGTCGGCCATGGTTCTCTTGTAAAAAACAAGGGTGCTTTTCTCATATTTTCAATCAAAGTTATTACGTTTTAATGAGTTTCTATAAAATTAATATATTGTTTAAATGAGTTCCAATAAAATTATTTAATATTTTAAATGAGTTCCTATAAAAAAATGTAGAATTTTTTTAATTTAAATAGTTTTAATGAAAACTTTTTCGCACCACCATTGAGGTAAAGTTCCAGTTTTTTTTTATATAAGGTGTGTTTCAAAATTATACGACACCAACACATTTATTTTTTGAAAATTTTTAGCGTTGTTGTTGTTTATAGAAAGCAAAACATTTAAGTGCAGTTCGAAAGAACAATGTATGATGTGTACGAAAAAAATACCACGCGTCCTTGATCCTCTTTTTAAGGATTTACCGCTAACTTTTCGAAATATAGTCTATTTTTCGGCTATGTGCGATCGTTTCATAATTATACGACACCATCGATTTTTTCCGGTTCCAATGATCAAACTTGACCGAAATTTTTTTTCTGGTTAAAGGCCTCTTTACACCTCAGTAGGAATTTTTCAAATGGAATTTCATATGTTTCAAGCCCGTTAACATAGTCTGTTGTTATTTCGGTGAAGCAATTTTAAAAAGCTGGCTTGGTCTGACAAAATTGTTGTATTCAAATGTACATTTCCTGTTATTATTTGGTTAAAATATCTCTAAAAAATGTTGCAATGTCTCACAACATTTAAAAAAACGTAATTTGCAAATTAAAACTATTGTGTCTGCTTTTACAATGGATGATAGATTTTATTTGAATCTTTTCTGAGTGCATTATTGGATCTCACTAATTCTATATTTTTTTTAATCGTACGCACTAGCGGTTTTAAAATCCTAATATTTACAAATAATATTACATAGCTGCATCCATATATTGGTTTACGAATGGTTTATTGTTAGATGATCAGAAACAAGTTATATTCCCATGGTCTGTGCTATGGCAGAACCTTTGCCTATAAAACCATCCTGCCAATGAAAAAATCGAAGACAAGTTCTAATTTTACAATATATTTATTTTGCTGCACCAGTGATAAGACATAAGTTCATTGGCTGACTTCAGAAAATCTCCTGTTTGTATTATCCACAGGATCTGTGGTTTTCTTCATCTTCTTCTTATAAGCCTTGTTTCCACCCATGGGCTATTAAAAGGACCGCTTTTTGAATGGGAGGGCTGCATGGAATCCTATAAACAAGTCAGTGCGCATGGTGTTTACAATTGAATCCTCTTTGTTGCATTGTTTTTATTTTTTCGAGCTCCAGATATTTTTTGGAACCACAATCACTTTAACAACAAACGAAATGAACACCATTCATTTCATATAACCTCTCATGGAATATGTACTCACACACATATTCCAATCGAGTCAAATAAAATAACCTTAACAGATCAAAGTTCTGTTACTGTCGAGCAAATGTTAAATTTTACAAGGGCTTCTATTCAAAATTGTTTTAATCTATGTTAAACATATGAGGCTTTTCTTAGAATCTTGACCAAATTCCATTTGAAGTGTAAACTCGAAATGAAAAATGAAATAGAAAATGGAATCTATTCCATCTCAGATTTGGAAATTTGTATAAAAAATTGGATTCCATGTGACATTCCATCTGAACTGTAAAGAGGCCTTAAATATAAACTAAAAGGTTCAATTTTGAGAGTAATTCAGCCCAAAGGTCCTTTCATTCTTCAACCAATACATAAATATTGAATATGTCTCTCTACACCTTAAGAAAGTAGTTTTTCGAAGTCATATCCCACAATTCGTCTTAACTTTTGTCTGGTCAATATTCTTAGCACTTTTGAATCAAATAAAAATCCTTTTCAGTTCATTACATGCACGAAACAGACCTAAAAAATTATTTTTTTATAAACTGCCCTTTGGAACAAAACCTGTTTTATTCCAAAAATATTTGATTTTGGCCGTCACTTTCTGTCAAAATGCAAAAATTTGTTCTTCAAAACCTTAATAAACGTTCCACATTTCACGATTGGAACATTTGAAATGCGATCCCCAGTCTGCGCCACTTTGAAGTTTTTTTCGAAATTTTTTTATACGAATTTGAGTGTTTTCTCCATGGGATTTCATTAAGGGGGCGCAGACTGGGGATCGCATTCCAAATGTTCCAATCGTGAAATGTGGAAAGTTTATTAAGGTTTTGAAGAACAAATGTTTGCATTTTGACAGGAAGTATTGCCCAAAATCAAATATTTTTGGAATAAAACAGTTTGGTTCCAAAAGGACAATTCTTTAAAAAATGATTTTTGAGGTCTGTTTCGTGCACGTAATACACTGAACAGGATTCTTATTTGATTCAAAAGTGTTAAGAATATTGACCAGACAAAAGTTAAGACAAATTGGGGGATATGACTTTGAAAAAAAACTTGTTTTAAGGTATAAAGAGAAATATTCAATATTTATGTATGGGCCGAAGATTAGAAGGATCAAAGATCCAGCCAAAAGCTGGATTACTCTCAAAATCGAATCTTTTAGTTTATATTTAACCAGAAAAAAAATTTCGGGTAAGTTTGATCATTGGAACCGGAAAAAATCAATGGTGTCGTATAATTATGAAACACCTTAAAATTAAGATTTTGTTATAAGTTATGCCACGGAGGCAAATATTATATTGTTTTCACATGAAATTCTTTGTTTTGTTATAACGATTAAATACAAACACAATAACCTTAATACGACTTTTAATAAAAAAAATATTTAAGAAATGTATGGTGTCGTATAATTTTGAAACACACCTTATATATATATATGATGGACGTTGATGCACTACGAGCAGTACAAACAAGTGGCCCAACGACACCAAGCACGTGCTTGTTACGCACGGGACCCTTTATCAATTTGGGCAAAAATGAGAGTTCGCGAGGAAAATACATGAGACAAATAGAGACGGGACATATAAAGATTATAAAGATTATGAACTAAGATTGAAGCAAATGAGATAAAATTTTAGTTTTTAATACAGGGATAGATGTAGAAGTGCAAATTAAATGATAAAGATTGTTATAATTATTACATAGAACACGAAAGGGCTCATGCAGAGTAAAATTTGATGTACATCGAGGCAAATTAAGAGGGTAATAATTTCGTGTTAGTCTAACGGGAACATTAAAAGTTAATAATAAAGTCAATATCACCTCTTATAAATAGTACCAAGCATTATTCTACGATTTGCAAGTGTTGGTAAATTATGCAATAATAATCTACTCTGGTAGGAGGGTAGTCTTACGTTATGATCCCAGTTCAAACTACGAAGAGCAAAAATAAGAAATTTTTTTTGTACCGACTCTACACGGTCAATGTGCACTTGGTATTGTGGGCTCCAAATCGAAGAACAATATTCCAATATAGGACGGACTAGGGAGGTAAATAGTAATTTGGTTATATAAGGGTCGTAAAATTCTTTTGACCAACGCTTTATAAACCCAAAAACACTCATAGCTTTGTTGACAGTCAGCATTATGTGGCAGTCAAATTTAAGCTTCGGGTCCAGAAGAACGCCAAGTGGCAAATTCTGAAGCAAATAACTTATAAACGTAGGAGTACCTCTATGAAAGGTCATTACGTTACATTTCAGGCAGTTCAAATTTAAGAGGTTATACTCACACCATACTTAAAAATTATCAATGTCTGATTGTAAGCCGAAACCAGACTCTCTATTATTGTATGTCAAACAAAGCTTAACATCATCAGCATACATTAGTACGCGAGAATTTGTTATGATAGAGGGAAGATCGTTAATAAACAAAGTAAACAGCAAAGGGCCTAGATGACTACCCTGGGGCACTCCAGATGTCACGCGGATCATTTTAGAAACAGCGTTCTTAAATATAACCCTCTGAGTCCTCCCATTTAAATAACTTGAAATCCAAGTTAAAAGATTACATGGAAACCCAAGCAAGTCTAGTTTGAATAAAAGAAGAGAGTGGTTAACGGAGTCAAAGGCTTTACTGAAATCTGTATCGGTCTGCATTTTATTGTTAAATCCATTAATTACAATAGATGACAATTCAAGTAGGTTGGTGGTAGTCGATCTTCGCTTAACGAAACCATGCTGACACGGTGATATTAGCGAGGAACATAAATGTTGCAAATGGGATGTGATGAGACGTTCAAAGGCTTTTGGAATTGATACCTCTATAATTCTGGGCATCCGCCTTCGCACCCTTTTTGTGAAGTGGAATAATAAAAGAGTCCTTCCAGATAGTTGGAAAAACTGATGATGAAATAGACAAATGAAAGAGTTTAAGAATAGGTTTGCAAATGGTCTATGCACAGAACTTAAGCACACACCCAGGAAGTCCATCAGGACCGGCAGAGTAAGTTGGCGTTGTTGTTGTTAAATCTCTTAAGAGAGAACATTCGGTAATTATAGGTGAAAAAATACAATTGGCCCCTTTTAAGGGATTACGGTAGTTTGAATTTGACCATGACGAGGAGCTATAAGTTGTTTGGAAAAAGTCGGAAAATAAATCTGCAATTTCAGAGTCAGTCGATGCCTCCATTGATACTTTTTATAAGTGTTTGTTCTAAGATTTTTTAGTCTTTGAAGCGCATTTGTAAACCAGGGGGGCCTGTTCGGCTTTTTAGGAAGCCTATCAGGAACGCATTCATTAAAAAAAGTGTTTAGAACGCTATAGAAAAGTTTCGTTGCACTTTCGATGTCCAAACAGTTATAAAGATCTGTCCAATTGTATTGCGAAATCATTAAATTAAGCTTATTATAGTCACATTTCCGAAAGCATCTCACTTTAGTTGGAGAAACTAAAGGAGAGAGGGTATCAAGGTAGGGGAGGCAAATTGTCAATTCCATAGTTGGATGGTACCGGTCTTCTGGTACCACAAGAGCGTCAATTTTAGATACTGTGACTTCAGACGGCTCTGAAACAAACACAAGATCTAATTGTCTATTTAATGAATTTCGTATAAAGCTAACCTGCTGTAACGATAATTCTAAAAGGCCATCCACAAAATCATGGGTGGATAAAGGTAAAGCGACAAGTGAGTCAGAAGGGGGGGGACCAAGATATATCAGGGAGATTAAAGTCACCCAAAACAATGAAAAGGTCTCTATTGGAAAAAAAGGATAGAATAGATTTAATAGCAGATAGATGTTGCTCATAAATTATTAGGTCAGAGCCAGGCGGAATATACGAACATGAAATAAAAATAGACAAGGATTGCAGGGAAACTTTCACACAAACAAATTCAATGTCATTAGAGGCATGAGAGTGAATTCTCTCAGAACTTATGGTGGAGGTGACGGCAATTAAAACGCCGCCCCCCCTACGGGAGAGGTGATCGGTTCTGTAGGTATTAAAATTGTTAGACAGAACTTCAGAGTCGGTTATCTCTGGTTTCAGCCAAGTTTCAGTAAAAGCCAAGATATCTTCCGTAAATGCCGAGGAGTCAGCATAAAGCTTGGTTAGCTTCATGTTAAGTCCTCTAACATTTTGGTAAGCCAAAAATAAACTTTTTAGTTTTTTGGCGCCGTGGAAGGCCTGTTACACAGGTACACAGCCAAAAATTTCCACGAACCATTTTAAGTTTTCCATGATATTTGGGTGCTCCTGAGTAAAAGTCCCATACAAAAGTATTTTCCATCACCTACAGGTTCCGCGGTATAGCTAAGAATACAAAAAACCTATGTTTGCCGACATTTTGAATTACATGGCCTATATAATTGGACTAACCTTTATTATTTTCGGTAGGACCTACTCTCAATACATCACGGCATTCCTAAAAAATAGTCCCCATTGTGAACCCTTGCCCATGTCTTTGGAATTCGACGCCAAAGTTTAAAATCCCAAAATTGTAGAGATTTTTCTGATGGAAAAACAGTTCTGAGGATTAAATCTTGAATGGAAGTAATTTTAACTATTCATTAAATCTATTGTTTATTGTATTCTTTAATTTCGGTTTAAAGCGATTTCATGAGAATATTTTTTATTGGATTTATTATACTAATAAAACCGTTTTTTTTATTTCATTATCTACTCCTAAATGTTGTCAAATTTTAAAAAAGTCAAGGCATCCTACAGAATGGGAGTAAACATTTACATTTCTCCATGTATGTTCAGTGAACGTATTTTAGTTTCTTAGTTCTAGAGGTTGCCATGACTTATTCAAAATTTGACAACATTTAGGAGTAGATAATGAAATAAAAAAATCGGTTTTATTAGTATAAGAAATCCAATAAAATGTCCTTATGAAAACGCTTTAAACCGAAATTAAAGCATACATTAAACAATAGATACAATGAATAGTTAAAATTACTTCCATTCAAGATTTAATCCTCAGAATTGTTTTTCCATCAGAAAAATCTCTACAATTTTGGGATTTTCAACTTTGGCGTCGAATTCCAAAGACATGGGCAATGGTTCACAATGGGGACTATTTTTTAGGAATGCCGTGATGTATTGAGAATAGGTTCTACCGAAAATAATAAAGGTTAGTCCAATTATATAGGCCATGTAATTCAAAATGTCGGCAAACATAGGTTTTTTGTATTCTTAGCTATACCGCGGAACCTGTAGGTGATGGAAAATACTTTTGTATGGGACTTTTACTCAGGAGCACCCAAATATCATGGAAAACTTGAAATGGTTCGTGGAAATTTCACAAAGTTTAATTTTGTGTTCCTGTGTTATTTGTTCTCGGTTTATTTGGAACAAATTCTTTGATTACTAGATCATCATTAAGCCAAAAGCTTTCAGAAAGTAGTATATTAAACACATCAGGCGGGGCAAAAATTTTGAAGGACGATATCCTACGGGCATATGAAAATCTAAATTGTTCCACCGCAATATCCTCGGATGGGAATTTTTCTCAAATAAATTCCATACCATCCTTAGATGTGGTATCAGGCGTAAATCTTGAAACAAACAATTGCTTCCTATGTCGGACAACTGAGAGTATCTTACGCCCCCCAGCAGCGGTCTGAACATTTCCCAGCTGTGAGCCAGAAACGCCTCGTTTGGGTACAACTGGCAGTTTCTTCCACCCCAAAGCGGCAGTCTGAACGTCACTCGGCTCAGAGAAAGAAACAGCACCTACTGAACCTGTGGGCATGGTCGGCACCGAATTGATTGACTCCGCCAGCTAAGGTATTTTATTGGAGCCTGACTTTCAGATATTGGGATTACACCGGATTACCCGGCTGCAGCTACCAGGTTAGGATTTAAGGTGGCTTCTTCATTCGCATTTACTGTCGTTGAGCTAGCTTTTTTTCGTTTGGGCGACTCGGTTAAAAGTTTTTTGTTATTAAATTGGTCGCAAACGGAATTGAACCCGTCATTAAGCTGTTTAAAAACTCGTGAAAGGTTCAATAACCTTTTATGGCCTAGAAATCTTTCTGCTGAAGTATTCCCGAATAGGAAGTATTTGAAAGTAGTGCATTTAAAAAAGAAAGTAAAAGAAAGACTGCGCCGAAGGCCAAAAATCGCGCAATTTTTTCTTAAATTTTTTCCGCCTGCGGCGCAGTTTTTATTGTTCAGTTTTAAACAAGTAGTTTTAGCTGCATAAGGGTTGTTGTGTCGCTCAGAAAAACGAATTCAAAGAAAGGTTAAAATATATAATCCTACTTGGACCGCGATTTCTTCTGATTATCATAATAAATATACACATGTGGTCAATCGCTGTCCATCGAGGATCATTTTCATCCAATCACTCAGATGTGTGGAATATTAAATTAGTTTTATTTTGACCAAAAAGGAAAAGGGTACATATATGATTTTTATAGCAAACGTTAGAAAAGCATACTTGTTTTTTATAGCAAACCCGGAAACTTTGAAATTCAATTACAAGAGAACCATGGCCGACCGCCAAGTTCTTTTTGCACGTAAATTCTTAAGAAATCGCGGTCCATCGAGAATAATTTTTTTGCGAATTTCGGGGGTGAGCCAGCTAATATATGTATACGGCCCTGTTCTAGTTTTCACTTCCGAAAGATTCACACGGAATCGAATTTCTTAGACCAGTTCCAGGACTCACCTCCGAAAGAATTGCAAGGATTTAAATATCCCTCGTTGTTACTCTGTTAACTTCCAAAAAATTCACATGAAAACTTTCCGCCAAGCATTTGACAGGCGGACTTAAATCCGCTAGCATGAAATCAAATGTACTTCCGAGTAAAAACTGGAACAGGCCGGATAGTACTACCAAATTACTACCAAAATTTCAGTCAGTGGTCATATACATACATAAGTTCGTGGAAAGTTCGTTATAAAAAGTTTTGCAAAATATTTGTAATTTTTTACATATCTCTTTTTGATAAAAGCAAACTGCGATGTGTATGTGGAGCAAATGTATATCCCCTAGAACGATCATTCTAATTAGTACTCATTTCCAGATATCAGTTTGTACCCGCTCGATGCAAGGAGCATCCTGTAGTCGATCAAGCAATTAGCGGTTCGTTAAGTTTATGCAGTTTTCCACCGAATTATGTAACTCCAGATTCGGAAGACATTAGGGCGGTGATCAACCACATTAAAAACTTGAGATTTGATTGGGAAAAAAATTAGAGTAATACAAATGTTTAGAGAACTATATATTTTATATGCATCAATACGCGCTCCAGTTAATGAAATCAATAAAATTAGCTAACAGTTTGTATGTTAATTGCTAGCGCGCTTTGCATGCAGTTGCATACGTTTCTCGATTTCGGGGCGGAAATGACGGATAAGGCCCTGGACTGGCCAGGCGGCACCGTCACCAAGCGCGCATATGGTATGTCCCTCAATTTGTTTGGATATCTCCCACAGCATATCGATCTCAGCGGGTTGCGCGTCACCCTTAACGAATCTAAAACGGAAAAATAAGTTTACAATTAAATTGGTTTTCACAAAAGGTTAAATAATATTTACCGCGTCATGATCTTGTTCATCCAGCCGATTCCCTCTCTGCAGGGCGTGCACTGCCCGCAGCTCTCATGCTTATAGAAAGATATTAGCCTGGCAATAGCCTTAATCACATCCGTAGACTTGTCCATAACGATGATAGCCGCAGTACCGAGCGATGTTTGAGCGGCGATTAAGCCATCAAAATCCATAATTACATCGTCGCAGACATTTTTAGGTATGATAGGGGTGGAAGAGCCGCCAGGAATGACGCCCAATAGATTGTCCCATCCACCAGTGACGCCTCCGCAATGGCGCTCAATCAGTTCCTTAAGTGGGATTGACATTTCCTCCTCCACAGTGCAGGGCCTGTTTACGTGGCCCGAAATGTTAAAAAGCTTGGTTCCCGAGTTACGGGTGCGACCGAAGCTGGCGAACCATGGGCCACCACGGCGGCAAATGCTCGGTGCCACAGCAACCGTCTCTACATTTGTAACTGTGGTCGGACAGCCAAAGACGCCAACGTCGGCGGGGAATGGCGGCTTCAAGCGCGGCTTTCCCTGCTTTCCTTCTAGCGACTCGATCAAAGCGGTCTCCTCGCCGCAAATGTAAGCTCCAGCACCTCGGTGCATGAAGACGTCGAAGTCGTAGCCTGTTCCGCAGGCGTTCTTTCCAATCAGACCAGCCTGGTAGGCCTCGGCAATAGCCAGTTGCATGTTTGAAGCTTCGTTGTAGAACTCGCCGCGAATGTAGATGTAGGCAGCCTGGGCACCCATTGCCCGACCAGCAATCAGACATCCCTCCACTAGCTTGTGTGGATCGTGGCGCATGATCTCGCGATCTTTGCAGGTGCCGGGTTCTCCTGCGGGTAAATACGAAGTCAAGGTCAGTGCTCTGCACTGCGAACACATGTTTTATTCCTCACCTTCATCGGCATTCACCACCAAGTACTTTGGGCGGCCGTCGCCGGGCTTGTTCATGAAGGACCACTTCATGCCACTGGGAAAGCCAGCGCCTCCACGACCGCGCAGACCGGACGTCTTAATCTCGTTGACGATCCAGTCCGGACCCTTCAACACAATCTCCTTAGTTTTATACCAATCGCCACGCTTTAAAGCCCCCTTCAGCCTCCAGTCGTGTCGCCCATAAAGGTTGGTGAAGATGCGATCCTCGTCCGCCAGGGGACCGAACTTGGTCTTCGTTTGGGGCGGAGGAGTCCCTGGAGGCGGGGCCTGGGTGCCTTGGAACCGCTGCAGCTGCAGGGTGGCCGGCAGAACCGCGCCTGCAATGTACAAATGGGACGAATAATTGAAATGCGCAGAGCATTGAACAACTTTTGTTTTGCTTTGCGCAAAAATTACATAATTTGGTAGCAAGGGAATCGATTGTTTTCAAGCCTTGTGGCACCTATGGCAGTTGCAAGTTCCACGCGGAACAAGCTGATGCAACTGAAAGGCACCTAATTAACGTATATGTGGAAATGTCGGCTTTATTTACCAATATGCGGCTTTGTTAACAAATTAAATCGCACAATTGCAGCCATTTTCGGAACGACTGACTGACAGCTGAAATGTGACGTTTGTATTCGGTGTTGCCAGACCACCAAATATTATGTGGGATGGATTTCACGGAATCAGCAGTGAACACTTTCTATGGTGGTGACACAGAAATCTCATTGGGCGCGTTCAGCAGAACAACATGATACCTGATTAATGATGGATCAGTAATCAGTAATCAAGTATGTTCTGCTGAACGTTCATGATACATTACAATGACGTAAAAGTAAACAAATATATCAAACAGTGCGCGCGCAATTTAATAAAAATATATTTTTCCTGCCTCCGTAATTGCAGCACTGACCACAGCTATCGTAGATACATAAAAATCAAAAATGGCAGAACATTTATAAAGAGTTCCACCGAATTTATAGTTTATATTCAAATTATTAGGGGGATTCCCTAAACTGTTGAATTGCTGAATTGTTGAATTTTGGTCAGCTGTTAATCAGCTGTTCCATACAAAGTCAACTTTCAGAACTTTCAGCAATTCAACAGCCTCGGGGCTGTTGAAAATTTTGTTGAATTGCTGAAAAGCCAGAGTTGTCACCTTTTTTTGAAAGTCGTGGCAACTCTGTAACATTTTAGTATCACCAGTACGCATTATTTATTTTAAAATCAACTTAGAAAGCATATTTGTGGGTCTTTTTACCTTGGTAACACTTTTAGACAGTAACTAGCAATAATAAATCAAATTTTACATGCTTTAAGTTCCGTGAAACTTTTCAACAAATAACAGCTGTTTGAAAATTCAACAGGAACCATTTTGGGTCGTTCCCTTAATTGCTGAAATTTTTTGTTGAATTTTCAACAATTCAGCAATTCAACAGTTTAGGGAATCCCCCTATTATGTTAATAAGTTTCGATATTTCGGCTATCGATACATGCCAGAAGCCATTTATTATGTATCAAGAAAAGGTAGCGTACTATTTTTACGCTATCTGATACCTGATCACTGAAAATTCTTGCAAAATTCTTGCATCATGATTAGTAATAATGTGCGTTCAGCAGAACTATCGTAAGAAATCCATCAGTGATCAGGTATCATGTTGATCTGCTGAACGCACCATTTGTTTCGGTGGAAAAAAAAGGTAACAACCGGAGGTGTCACAGAAATCATTTCCAACAAATATCTGTTTTGGTTCAATGCACAAAGTCAACATTCTTTAGTTGGAAAAGATTTCTGTGACATAAACTTGCAAGTTCCAGGCCACTGTTGGGCCTGACCTATTAAACTTACTTTAATCTTGACCAATTGCCGCTAAAAACAATCCAATTGTGTTTATTTTTGCGATGTAATCTATTCTATTTTTTATTAAGGAAAACTAAATTGCACGTCTTTTTTCTGCCGTTCTGCTGTTGCTGTTTTGTGAAACGGTTGGGATTTTTGACAAATGTGAAACTTGTGTTCCCATAGAGTCCATCCACCAACGGATAACAGCGGACTTGAATAGCAGTTGCTCATCTCAACATAAACGAAGGGTCATTTCAACTCAGCAAAACTTTCGTAAAATTGCGTTCTCTCAATTTTATTTTAGAATAGTACAATAAATAGCATAAGATAATAGTTAATAGTTCGGCCAGCCAAAGATTATAAACCCTTGCAGATAAAGTAACTACATATAGTTTAATGCTTACTCTATCGGTGCAGTTCCAGGTATTCCAGATTCTGCGTGCCGATTTAAAATTTTCAAAATTTAATTTTGTTTTTAAGTTCTCAAAAATTAAAACGCCTACTTCCTACACAGTTACAAAAAATTTTATTATATTTCTTTGATTATTCCTATGGGAGCCTTAAGATATAGTGGTGCGATCCGGCTCGCTTCGACATATGTTCTACCGGCAATAGAAAGAATACTTTTCATTGCGATATTTATGCTTTATGTGTACTCTGACTGAATTTATAATACCCTCTCCAAGAGTATAAAAAACATATCTGAATTTGTATAACATATCCTATAACGAATATGCACACATATTGCTGACTGGAGGCGAGCCTAACCTCCCGTACTCCTCACTGTGCTCTTACTACGCCTGTGTCTAAAGAATAATAATGTGGCAAATTTCTAAAAAAAAAAATCTAACCAAATTGTGCTGCTTTGGTAATTTATAGCAACTTTGGGACTTTATAGGAGTACATAGTGCACTTTTAATTAATATTAGTTGTTATAAAAGAGCCCGTCAAAATTGGATGGCGGACCAACTGGAAAATTCTCGGAACGGCAAAACCTTACGGACCATCCGTTCAACGGATTGTGGATGGTAGATGGATCTCTGGGTGAACACCCTTTTAGGGATTTACTATGTGAACAAAAGTCGCTTTTGCATTAGCACTAGTCCTAGCTAACTTGGCTGAACTTAAAAAATATATAATTATACGTGCTTTACCATTTGTTGAATTCTCAGCAACTCCGCAATTTGGGAAAAATTCCAATTATGTTACTTGATAAAGCAGGCCATCCACAGTCGAATTTCTTCGACGAACATTTTCGAGAGCGCAGGCAAGATAGAATCGTTTCTATCTTTGTCGAACAAATATATAAGAAATTTGAACGCCGACACACGAACATGTTTGTCGAATAAATTCGACTGTGGATGGCCTGCTTAAGGCAACTAATCGTATGGTGAGAAAAATGTGTTTTTCCCAAGACGCAATTAAGCAACCGTAGTGTAAATGGGATTAAACTTCTGTCAGAAACTGAATACGTTCACACCATATTCCCACTTATTTGTTTTGTTGAAAATGGCTCAAAAGCAGAGCAATGAGACAACCAACGGGACGACCACTGAAATTATTGACGAGGGTGATACCTGTGGTCCATCGGAGGCGGCTCGGACAACGCCCACACTGCAATTGCGTCTAGAACATCCGCGGGACGAACGCCGGGTTGTTTTTCACGCTGGAGTCATTGACAACGAGCATTTGAATCGCAAAAAATCCAAATGTAAACTTCGTTTTCGTTCCCGCAGACTATGATTGATTTACTTCCATTTCAGGCTGCTGCATATACAAAAAACCTCTGGCATTCGACGAAAGCTCTTCGGAAGATGACGAAGACTGCGAACACTGCTTTGGGCACCCCGAAAAGCGGAAGAAGAACGTTAAACACAGTCATGATCACGATGAAAACTCGTGCCCGGAGGCCACTCATGCGGATGGACCGTCGACATCCACTCGAGCTACGGACTCTACTCTCCCGCCAGCTGAGCCTGTTGAATCGCCGGCCAATCCGAAAACACCTACCCATGGCGTTGACCTCGAGCAGGAAGGTAGTTCGTAGCGCTTACTGCAATTTAAATATGTGTAATTATAAACGTTAACAACACGGAACCAACCAGCTCTTGGATCTACAAGCAAGACGATGTTTTTGGGCAGTGATAACTAATGCATTGGGGATTCGAAATCACATTGGACCTTCAGATTTTGGGCTTGAGCTCATATGATTCGCTGACGTTATTGGGGATATTAAACTCTTTTGCTTTTGCCCGTGAGCGCCAGACCTGGGAAGTACGATTGTTAAAAACAGCAACAATAGAGTAGTTGCATTTGTGGATACCTTGATTGTGTAATCGTCACTAGTGGTTACCAGCATCTCTGAGTCGCGCGGGTTGAAGGCCACACTGTTAACCACGTCCGAGTGCTTAAACTTGGCCAGGCTGATGCCGTAGTATCGATCCCAGAGGTAAGCGTGCTGATCTTCCGCGCCACTTGCCACGTACTCCTCGCACACGTCCAGAAAGATAAAGAAACACTCCGTGCTGGGCGTGTACGCCTTGTGGGCGCGTAGCATATTTCCCACCCGCTTGAGAGTCATCAGGTCGATTACGTGAATATCTATTTCTTGGGCGATGGGTGGCGGCTCCAGAGGATTGGTGATCACGTAGTTCTTTGGCCAGGGACGTGTGTTGACGTACAAGTACCGATGGTCTGGGCTCAGAGCCATGCCGATGATGTGTCCGTGCAGATCTATCACCTTGTCCACCTTGTCGAACCTATCCTTGACTGACTCATAGTCCCACCAGTCCGGATCGGTGCGAGGCGTCTGCTGCTGCTGTTGCTCAGCGGCCCGCTTTGCAGCTATTCTTTCCTTAAGAGTTGGCCCAGGATCCAGCTTTTTAGGAAAGTATACGTTGCGTATGCGCTTGAAACCGATTTGGTGGGGCGTAAAGGTCTTAGAACCCGTTGAAAAAATTAGATATTTTGGCATATTGTTCTCCATCTCGTCGTATTCTTCTTGTACATCCATGGAGTCGTACTCCTCTTCACCGTCTTCGCTCGGTTCGTTGGCGCTAGCAACCGCTTTCCTGTATTCCTCCAAGTAGTGAATGGTGGCATCCCCGGGTCGCGTTCTGGAACGCCGCTCGCTGATGTCCGGCAAGTAGTTCTCCTCCGGTGTGGCGCTCCTTGTTCGACGAAGGCTGGCCGCATGGGACAGTGGATTGCCACTGGCCTGCGAGCTGGACCCCGGATCGCTGTTCTGCAGCGAGAGCGCCGCACTGTGAGGGTCTTGCACCGCCATCGTTACCAGCGGATCGTTGCTCTCGTCCAGCCAGGGACATCTGGCCACCATTATGGCCCTGACCGAACTAGCGTTTCTATTGTAGAACTTGTAAAGCTGACTCATGATCGGTACATGCTCCGAGTCAATCTCCTGATTAGCCTTGTTCAGCCACAGAACCGAGGTGCTTACAAGATGCGCCAGCCAGTGGAGGTCGCCCGAGATTAAATATTGATCGCTGAACCAGGTGCCAAATATGTCGTAAGGACGGTTAACCACACGGCAGCGTAGGTGTGACTCAGTTGCCCCCAGATAAAACACCGCAATCTCCCCAGATGTTGATTGTGGCGATCCAAAATGGACACCGGAGACTAGTAGCAACGTGTCGCTCTGATTGAACTGCGAGTACTGGGAATACTTCCAGCTAAACTGTTTCATGTTGTGCGCATACTTCTCTGTACATGGGTGCTGAGCGTTCCATATCTGCAAGTAGGAGTGATTAGTATCTCTCTTTTCCGGATCCGATGGGGACATACTATCACATAGCCGTCCTTGGAGCAGGTGGCAAACATTTCGCCGTTGTGGGCAAAGCTCACATGCAGCACTTGGTGAGTGTGCCCATGGTTGTTCTCCACTGTAGGCTCCAAGCGCTGGGCCTGAACGAAAGGTATATGCATTGACAGGCGTTGGTATTCCGACCGCCAGCTCTCGGCCCCCGGCTTCAGCGAAACGCTCGGAGAGGCCCTGAAGTGCTCCTGGAACTTTTGGCGCCATAGCAGATCGTCTTGGGCAATGCTGTGCCACCTACGACAGCATCGGCTTGCCTTCAGGAGATCAGCCACACTTAGGCGCTCGAAGATCATTAAAAGAGCTGGCTCCGGCAGGGCCCACCAGCCGAACGAATCGGAGCCAGAGGAGCCCTCGTCGCTTTCCTCGTCCACCGTTGGTGACGTATTCCCGTCCATTCCCAGTCGGGCTTTTTTGAAGGTCACTTCCATTCTATTTTTGAGCTGGAGCAACGCGTTCCGTTTGCCCCTGCAAATTGCGGCTAAACTGCGGTTAGTTCGTGCGCTGGAAGGTTTAGCTTCCTCTGTTTCTGCATCTGCAGCTTCGAAACTGAAAATAACTTTCTCCCTTATTGTTATTGTTTTCAGAGGGCAACCGAACAGCTGTTGCGAGAAATTAATTTCGACCACTCTCACTGGTCTTTGTATCGATATCAGCTGAATGCTATCGGAAAACAAGTGGTCAGCAAAAAAAGGATTCGACTTGAAGATACCTAATATTTAATTGGATAAATTAAAACCTTCAGTAATATAGGTACATAGGATCTGCTATCAAAATAAAACAATTGAACATAACTGGCATGCTATGTTTTTTATATATGCCAATCGTCAATATACCCCTTACTTGAGTAAGAATAGCGAACCAGTGTTATGTAGAACGATGTTAACAGAGTCAGGTAACAACGGAGTAAAATTAAATATGTACATTGTACATATGTATTTATGTATAGTAGCCACAGCATGTCTGGATGTCTGCGCTCTAGTAGTCCCAGGTAGTAAGTTTTGCCCAAACTCAGTTCAGACGAAAATTGCCAACGGACTCTCGAATTCCACAACTTCTGGCAGCTGTTGCGCAACTACACATCTTATAAGAATGCGGTGGTGATAGCGGCTGCCGTTAGGACACCGAGCTCTCCCTTCCGGGCGGAGGAGCAGCGACTGGCGGGCTTGGTGGTGGACGAACTGGTGAAGCGCACCAACGTGCCACGTGAGGAGGTCAACAAACTGATAGTCTGCTCCTCCCTCAAGACTCAGGCTCCAGATTGCAGGGCGCTGCTGTCCAACGTGGCCAAGGAGTTAGGCCTCAAGTGCGAGACCCTCACTCTGCAGGACGATGTCTGCTCCATAGGCGGCCTGCAGATGACTCTGGACTGCCTGCAGCGCGGGGAAGACCAGTGCATCATTACGGGCGACACTCGTTGTCAGGTCATTCAGCCAGAGCATGGGGTACTGGCCAATGAGATGATGCCCGTGCAGCAGCCCCGTTCTCGCATACGGTCTGGAGCGGAACTGATCACTGTGCCGGTGCCAGCACCCACGCTTAGCGCCGCTGCTCTCGCCTGGACCACTCTGCAAATGGCCCAGCGTCTCAACCTCCAACCACTAGCCCTGCTGCGCGAGTTTGCAATAAAACAGGACGACGAGCAGGCAATGTACCGCCTGGCCAGGCGAGAGCCGATCACGCCCAGCGAGATCTTCTCCTGGACCATGGTAACCGGCACGGAGAAAGCTAGACCAGAAAACATTCTTGGTGACCTGAATACCAACCGCCTGTGCATGCATGACTTTAGGCAGGTCACAGCTAGCCACCTGCTTACCCACCTGGTACACTCTCTTCCCTCAGGCAGTCTTGGATGCGCCTACATGGGCACGCCGGATGGCCGCTCTATGATCATGGTTCTCGAAAAGCTGTGCGTTTTGGCCGAGAATGTATCGGCTTCTTCTAACCCGATTTAATCTTTCAGAGCGACCACAATCGATCAGTTGGAGGGCCTGCCGCTGCTCACTTTGTACACTAGAGATCCGTGTTCATTGTGCGATGAAATGGTGCAACAGCTGGAGCGGGGTTTTGCAGGCAGATTTCGTCTGGAGAAGGTATACATCGACCGGAAGGAAAACGTTCGGTTCCTGCGCCTCTTCAGGCATGACATTCCTGTTTTGTTCTTCAACGGACAGTTTCTATGCATGCACCGATTGAATGAAAATGCACTAGTAGAGCGATTGGATGGTCTGAATCGATCGTACTAAAGGTCGCCGTGTAAAATCTGAAGAAAATCCTTGATTTTTATATATACAGAAGTTTAAAGAAAAAGGAAGACTTAATAAAAAATTTGACTTTAAATTGTGATTCGTTTGGACATAGGGGAGAGGTCTGTAAGTTGGGATACCCCATTCTCTCAAAACTTGTCCACTACAAAATTTGTTTTCTTTTTTTATTGAGTCTTTTTTAGTAACAAAACTTTTGGGTAAAACATTAGAAGCCAGGATTAAGCAAGATTTACTCTGTGACACTCGTGTACCATTTTTCACTAAAAAAGTTTTTTATCACTTTTTTCAAAATTCCATAAAAAAAGTGCTAAAGTGCTTTAAACATAGGTAATTAAACGCTAAACAAATATTGAAAAAAATCATTTATTGGACAGTCAGAATAAAAGTTATTAATTTTTCCCGAAACAACCCATGTTGTGTAAGTTGAGACACCGGTTTTTCATACAAAAAGTCCTCAGCCCGACAGAAGTCTCTTTCTGCCTGGTAAATTTCTTTTAAATTTGGGGAAATGTGATCGTCAAAGAGTCTTTTAGTTTATTTCAGCCGAGCGTCACGCCGCCTAAAACTCCTACAATCGCATAAATGCAATTTTGTTGCGTTTATTTATACCTATCGAAATGTAGAAGGAAATTTATCATTCGGACCATTCATTAAAAAGTTACGCCCCATCAAAGTTTCATATCTTCATCTCCCTCGCACTCCATTTTGCTGAGTAACGGCTATCTGATAGTCGGGGCACCCGACCATAGCGATCTCTCTTTTTTCTATCATAAAACTGTTTTAAAATCATTAAAAAAACAAGTAAAACGCACAATATTTTGGCTCTTATGTTTATTATGTTTTTGTGTTTAAAACACAACACATAATCGGAAAGGCATAAACATAAAATAAGAAATCAATTAAAATCAATTATGAGTTGTGTTTTAAATATGGAGAACAAGAAAGGAAGTTAACTTAGGCAGGCCAAAGTTGGTATACCCCTGCAGTTCAAATGCAACCTTATCTTCTTTGAGTGCTTCAAACGCTTTACATCGATGGGTGCCGTTTAGGAATATCAGATGTATATTGCCCATTTTCTTAGATTTGGGTTGAAAAATGTCAGAAATTTAAATGCCTACTTCATAACGAAAAACGTGTTCGAATATTTCTGTGTGCCGAATAAGAATTTTTCACAACATTGTACTAACAGCCCAGAACTGATATTGCAGATGAACTACGGGAGCTGTAAGCAAAAGGAAGGGTTCTCCTCACTTGCAGCATTGAACTAAGTTATGTAAGTGTGAAAGACTGTTGATGTTAATTTGGCAATTTCGTCCAACAACATTTTTATTTTTTTTTGTATTGTATTGTATTGTATTTATTAAGCAATGGACTGCTTGTAAAGCATTTATAATATACATTTTGTGTTAAATAACTAGTGCGCCAAACCACATAAGGGGAATTTTTTAACGATATGCCCCTGCTCACATCGAGTGGTAGGCACTTTAAATTACATATTTGATGACAATAACGATAGTACTATATTATAATTAGACACCGAAGAGACTCCATACAACAAAGACTCCATCCAGACGTGACTGAGATCATTATATTTATCACAAAGAACACGGAAAATACAATATACCCTTTTACTCTACGAGTAACGGGTATAATAAAGATGGGACACATAATAAGCGTAACGAAGTAATTATGAGTGAAGCAGATGAGCTAAAATATTAGTTTTTAGTACCGGGATACAAATTAAATGATGCAAATTAAATGATAAAGGATGTTATAATTATTACAAAGAACGCAAAAGGACTCATGCAGACTAAAATTTGATGTACAACGTGGTAAATTATGAGGATGATAATTTCGTGTTCGTCTAAAGGGAACATTAAAAGTTAATAATAAAGTCAATATCACCTCTTATAAATAGTACCAAGCATTACTCTACGATTTGCAAGTGTTGGTAAAATAAGCAATAATAACACTGTGCAGCATTTTTAATGCTTTTTAAATTTACCTCGATGGGTGCTATATTTTTGGATTCGTTATGAATTCCGAAGTTAAACTGCGTTTTCCAAAAAGTTCCCCGACGCAAGGATTCTTAGCAAAAGGACCTCAAAGTTCGAAAAATGCCGAAATTGGTCGACTTTCTGGAGCTCTCAGAGGCAAACGGATTTATGGTTTGTTTCGATGTTAAAGTTTTTGAAAAGATACACTCTTTATCTTTCGAACCCCATACTTAGAATAATTTTAGGATTTTTATTAAGGTAGAAACAAATTTTAGAAAACATAGTCCAAAAAACATAAAAGCATACAGCTGCGGTCAAAATAGTAGTATATAGTATTGCCGCCCTGTGTTTTTAAAGGTTTGTTGTTGTAATTTTTCATCTCCTGGTAATATTGTATTGATTATAATTGTACTATTAGACTAATTGGATAAGAAAAGTGACAACAACAAACCTTTAAAAACGCCCTGTGTTTTTAAAGGTTTGTTGTTGTAATTTTTCTTCTCCTGGTAATATTGTATTGATTATAATTGTACTATTAGACTAATTGGATAAGAAAAGTGACAACAACAAACCTTTAAAAACACAGGGCGGCAATACTACTACTATTTTGACCGCAGCTGTAAGCTTTTATAATTTTTGACTATGTTTTCTAAAATAAATTTCTCCCTTAATAAAAATCCTAAAATTATTCTAAGTATGGGGTTCGAAAGATAAAGAGTGTTTTTTTTTAAAAATTTTAACATCGAATCAAACCATAAATCCGTTTGCCTTTTGAGAGCTCCAGAAAGTGGACCAATTTCACCATTTTTCGAACTTGGAGGTCCTTTTGCTAAGAATCCTTGCGTCGGGGAACTTTTTGGAAAACGCAGTTTAACTTGGGAATTCGTAACGAATCCAAAAATATAGCATCCATCGAGGTAAATTTTTGATGCTGCATAGTGTAATCTACTCTGGTAGGAGGGTAGTCTTACGTTTTGATCCCAGTTCAAATTACGAAGAGCAAAAAGAAGAAATTTTTTTTGAACCGACTCTATACGGTCAATGTGCACTTGGTATTGTGGGCTCCAAACCGAAGAACAATATTCCAAAATAGGACGGACAAGGGAGGTAAATAGTAATTTGGTTATATAAGGGTCGTCTTTTGACCAACGCTTTATAAACCCAAAAACACTCATAGCTTTGTTGACAGTCAGCATTATGTGGCAGTCAAATTTAAGTTTCGGGTCCAGAAGAACGCCTAAATCATTTACTGAATATATACGGTCAAGTGGCACGTTCTGAAGCAAATAACTTATAAACGTTGGAGTAACCCTATGAAAGGTCATTACGTTACATTTCAGGCAGTTCAAATTTAAGAGGTTATACTCTGTATATATAACGTTGGTCTGCATTTTATTGTTAAATCCATTTATTACAATAGATGACAATTCAAGTAGGTTGGTGATAGTCGATCTTTGCTTAACGAAACCATGCTGACACGGTGATATTAGCGAAGAACATAAATGTTGCAAATGAGATGTGATAATACGTTCAAAGGCTTTTGGAATTGCCGACAATTTAGAAATACCTCTATACTTCTGGGCATCCGCCTTCGCACCCTTTTTGTGAAGTGGAATAATAAAAGAGTTCTTCCAGATAGTTGGAAAAAATGATGATGAAATAGACAAATTAAAGAGCTTAAAAATAGGTTTGCAAATGGTTGATTTACAAAACTTAAGCACACACCCAGGAAGTCCATCAGGACCGGGAGAGTAAGTTGGCGTTGTTGTTGTTAAATCTCTTAAGAGAGAACATTCGGAAATTATAGGGGAAAAAATACAATTTGCCCTATTTAAGGGATTAGGGTAGTTTGAATTTGACCATGACGAGGAGCTATAAGTAGTTTGGAAAAAGTCGGCAAATAAATCAGCAATTTCAGAATCTGTCGATGCCTCCATTGAGTTAAAACGAACCGATGAAGGCAAAGCTGATGAATTACGCTTGGCGTTAACAAAGTTATAAAGCTGCTTCGGATCATTTGTAAATTCAAATTTACAACGATTTAAATACATAGAATAGCAATAACTGTTGACGACATTAAAATCAGATCGAGCCACCACATATTTCGAAAAATCGGATGGCTTACCCGATTTTTTATACTTTTTATAAGTGTTTGTATTAAGATTTTTATGTCTTTGAAGCGCATTTGTAAACCAAGGGGGCCTGTTCGGCTTTGGAGGAAGCCTATCAGGAACGCATTCATTAAAAAAAGTGTTTAGAAAGTTCAGTTGCACTTTCGATCTGTCCAATTATATTGCGAAATCATAAGGTTAAGTTTATTATAGTCACATTTCCGAAAGCATCTCATTTTAGTTGGAGAAACTAAAGGAGGGGACCAAGAAATATCCGGGAGATTGAAGTCATCCAAAACAATCAAAAGGTTCCTATTGGAAAGAAAGGATAGAATAGATTTAATAGCAGCTAGATGTTGCTCATAAATTATAAGGTCAGAGCCAGGTGGAATATAGGAACATGTAATAAAGATAGACAAGGATTTGAGGGTAACTTTCACACAAACAAATTCAATGTCACTAGGGACATGAGAGTGAATTCTCTCAGAATTTAGGGTAGAGGTAACGGCAATTAGGACGCCGCCCCCCCTACGGGAAAGCCGATGGGTTCTGTAGGTATTAAAATTATTTGACAGAACTTCAGAGTCGTTTATCTCTGGTTTCAGCCAAGTTTCTGTAAAAGCTAAGATATCGTCAGTGAATGCCGAGGAGTCCGCATAAAGCTTGGGTAGCTTCATGTTAAGTCCTCTAACATTTTGGTAAGCCAAGAATAAACTTTTCAGTTTTTTGGCACCGTGGAAGGCCTGTTATTTGTTCTCGGTTTATTAGGAACAAATTCTTTTATAACCAAATCATCATTAAGCCAAAAGCTTTCAGATAGCAGTACTTTAAACACATCAGGCGGAGCAAAAATTTTGAAAGACGATATCCTGCGGGCGTATGAAAATCTAAATTGTTCAACCGCAATAATGAATTCCAAAACACCCTCAGATGTGGTATCAGGCGGAAATCTTGAAACAAATAGT